AATCCCCCCCCCCCCCCCCCCCCCCGATTTCCTCTTCCTGCCCTTCCTGCCCTGTGCTGCAGTACGGCCGCCTGCGCCCCGGGGGCGTCATCCTGAAGACGCAGAAGGGGCGCGACAGCTTTGCTTTCATCGATTTCGAGGACGCGGCGCCCGCTCAGGTGGGCCTGCCGGTGCTATCAAGCGGAAGTGTTGCCGGTACTGCATGAACTAAGCAGTGGGAGTCGGTCTCATTACTCATCCTAGCACTGATTTCCTTGCTGCGCATGTGCAGGCGCTGCTCCGCCAGGGCATGGAGATCGAGGGGGCGCGGCTGGAGGTGCAGCCCAAGCGCCCGCTCATCTTCCGCCCTGCCATGCACGGCGGGCGCAGCGACGGCGGGCGCAGCGGCGGTCACAACGGTGACATGGGCGGCCGGCCTGGCCCCGGGCGCTACGAGGGTGGCATGCCTGGCGGCGGCAGGGGCGATCGCAGCGGCTTCCGGCCGGGCCGGGGTGGCGGCAGGGGTGAGCATGCAAGGCCGCTCTCGCCCTTTGCCCTGCTGCCGGGACTTACCTGACCTGCTTTGATGGCTAACACATTGCCTTGTGGCTGGCATGCTTGCTGCAGGACCCTATCCCGGCCCTCCTCCCCAGGATGGCAGGCCGGGGCCCATGGGTGGCCCGCCCCGCGGCATGCCACCCCCGCCTGGCCCAATCATGACCGGCCCGATGCCAATGGGTCCCATGACCGGCCGCATGGATAGCAGGGGCTACGTCCAGGACGCGCATGCCTTTGGAGGCGGCAGGGGCTATGGCGGCGGCGGGAGGGGGCGCGGCCGTGGACCGCCGCCCCCTCAGCAGCAGACGCCCATGCCGCCCCCTCAGGCCAGCGGCATGGAGTGAGGCGGCACGGCTGCGAGCCTGCTAGGTGACGCTTAGCAAGCATGCCTCTGTCTTTCCCGCTGAATTCATTCAGGCCTCATTGTTGGTTCTCCTGTCATTTGCTCTATGCTTGCTGCCCAGCCTCGCTGCGCACCGCCCGGTGCCAGTGCAGCTGGGATGCACCACGCTTCACCCAGTGTTGCGCAGCATGCATAGCTCTGCTCTGCCTCTCTTCTGTTTCTCCGGGCCTGGCCCATCCCACGCCCCTGCGGGCCAGCATGGCTGGGCGCTTTTTGAGGGCGGGTCAAGCTAAGCCGTGAATGCAGGCGTGGCACGCTGCTCTCCTCCATGCTGTCTGTCTGCTGCCATTTCATGTCGCAGCCCAAGCTATGTGTCCTTGCACCGCTTGCGCGCCTGCTCCACTCATTCAACCCAACCGTTTGTGTGTTTGCTTGTGTGCTTCGTGTCTCCTTTCTGTTATACAGCTCAACTGCCTGCTGGAAGTTCAGTATCAGTCTGAAGTCTCTGACAGGGGAATAGCAGATTTTCTGTTTAGAGATGTCCTAAGCACACCATTCGGGCAGCACCAGTCACCGCTGGCGCTGGGTAACTGGCACAATCTAGCTTCTCCGCATGCCCCGGGCGCCGCCATTCTTGCCCTTGCTCCCATTCCTGCCGCCGTCGCTGCCGTGGTAGTGCCGCATGCCCAGGAAGGCGCCGGCAAAGTGCCAGGCCTGGCTCTTGCCGCCGTGGTGAAGCACCTCGTGGAAGACCAGCGTCAGCTGCAGCACACGCATAGCATCACGTGAACAGGCAGCCAGTGGAATGTGCTCGTCAGAAGCACAGCCAGAGCACGGACAGAAAACCAATCATGACATGTCAGGCTGGGCACCCGCCCTGCACCGGGCACAGGTGCGGGCACGTGGGCCTCTGTAATGCACCTTGTTGTTGCGGATAGCCGCTGACTGCTTCTGCGAGCAGCTGGTGCACTGGGGGTAGAAGCGCTGCCGCGGCGGGGCCGTGGGGATGTTCATAGCACTGGCAAGCTGCAAGGTGGGCGGCAGGCAGGCCAAGCGCAGGCAAGCAATGGCTGGAGGAAAGCAAGCCACCGGAATCATATAGGTCAGGATATGCAAGACTGCCTGCCATGCCCCCCTCACCTGCTTGACGAATGGAAGGTTGAGCAGCGAGCGCCGAGCCGTGTGCACATACTGCTGCACCTGCTTGTTGGGTGGCATGTGGTCGCCAATCACGGCTCCCCGCCGCGTGCCGCAGTGATGGCACCCATCCCTACCGCAAGAACGGCGGAGCGGGCACGTCCGGCATTCAAACTTGGGCACCACAAATGCTGGCCACAGCTCCCAGCTTGCCATGCCAACAATGGAGCACCGGTGGACTCCTTGGTCGTAGTCGCACCTGGTGAACAGACGCCGCAGCTCCACCCGGTTGGCCTCAGTGGCATACTCCACGCTGGGGGCGGGCAGGCTCTCCCTGGCGATGGCCCCCACGTTGGCCAAGTCGCTAGGCATGACAGAGCGGAAGCGGCCACCCATCACCTGCAAGCAAGCGACGCCACTTTTAGAGAATCCGGGCAGGAGCGGTCCCTTGAGAGGCGCATGCGGTGTGTGTGTGAAGGATGGAACAAGCAGGCAGCCCTGGCCTCTTCAGCAGGTCAGCAGACACCTGCAGCAAGTGCACGCGCGGCAGCAAAACTCGCCTTGAAGAGCGTGATGCCTAGCAGGGCATCCACAATCAGGTCCTCTGACCTCACACCCTTCCAGGGCTGCAGCAGCGGGTTCCTGCGGCACGGGGCATACCCTGGATCCTGCGGTGTGATACCTCTAAGCAAACAGACCCGCCGATATGGCGCAGCAGCACGACACAATGGTAAATTGCACCGACAAGACAGACCCTCATTCAAACTGCTACAAGCAGGAAAAGGTGCAACTCACTTGCCATCCTGCATGTACTTCCGGCACTTGATGGATGCCTGGCCAGCCATCGCAGAGGCAAGGCCCACACCCAGCAGCCCACCCACAGGCCCTGCCACCGGCGTCGCACAGGACACACGAACCGCCATGCCTGCTGCCTGCGCGGTTGCCAGGCCAGCAGTGTATGCTGCCATGGACGCGCCCGCTTGTAGCAAGAAGGGCACCACCGGCTCAAAGGCCGCCACTAGCTGCTGGCCAGCATGCCTGTGGCAGCGGGCAACGGAAGGCGGGCGGTCGGGCGGCGCGCGGCGGCAGTTATCCTGGCAAAAACGCCTGGCGGGCAGTGTGCGCAATCCCTCGGGCATCCTAGATCACCTGGCAGCCACCACAAACTCGTGCTCTCCCCGGCGGTTCATTCTCAAGCAAACGCAACTGACTGTGGGGAGTGAGCTGTTAGCGGCGACTGCGGGAGTTCCACCGAGCACCGATGCAGGCTGATGACTACATCCGCACCGGTGGCTAGAGCTGGATCGCGGGATTCCAGAGCGCAGGCAGTACAGGTTTCGGCGACCCGTGCCTTGGCGCTCGGCAGTAGGATTGAGTCATTCCAGGTCCCAGCTAAGGCACCTGATCGCATGTCGAGGCTCCACCCTCCATCTGATTTATTGCTGTTGCGCCTCCACTGGCCCCGGCTTCCCAGCTGCCACCCCGAGGCAGATGTCCAGCTGCTGGGTGTTGTGTTGCGCCGGCATGGCGGCATCCACGAGGTGCTGGTCACCGGCGCAGCGGAGGCGGGAGCCGCGGGGCACAGCGGCACGGTAGTTGGCACAGTGTGTGGAGCACCGCACGCTGGCAATCGTCTCAATCTCAGCAGCGACCTGCGAGTCTTGTTGCACCCAGCCAAGGCAGCGCCGGGCGGTGTTCTCCCCATCCCGCTACCAGCTGCCATCAACCCCGGGCCAAGGACCCAGCGGGCACGCCGGGAGCATACACAGCCAGCCTGGGAATCAGTGCAGGTCATCCTGTATGAACCCCAGCCCCCCCTATACCTGCTCGGCACCGAAGCCAGTGATATTGTCAACCAGCCGTCCATCATCAGGCAGCCAACGCATCCCCCTCGACGCAAGTTTGGCGCACAACTGGTGTCGCATTTGCTCGGCGCCCTGCTGGCGCTCGCTGTGGTTCTAGCGCACAGGCGGGGGCTTGCGGCCGCCGCTGGCAGCGGCGGAGACTGGCTGGCGCGCTTCGTATCGTCACAGCTGGGGTGGTTCATGACCGCTCAGCCTGCAGGTGTGCCTGGCATACACCAACAGCAGTCAGAGTTTGTGGGGGGTTGGTGCTTGACGATTATCACGCGCTTTTTCCTGCAGGCGTCAAGTTGCACCGCCAGGTGGCGGAGCTGCTGGGCCTTTGTGGCGTAAAGTACGCGGCGGCCGTGCATTGGCTGCTGGCTGGACACTCCCATGTGCTGTCCGCATGTGCCACAGGTAGGGCTGGCTTGGCACTCGGTGCTTGCTGATCCACAGGGCGCGCGTGCCTCACTTCCAGTTTATGACCAGATGCTGTGCTCAACCGGTTGCAGGGTTGGTGGTGTTGCCGCTGGCTGCGGGTGGTCTGCTGTGCGGCCTGCTGGTGCTACGGTGCCTGCTGTGGGCGCTGGCCCTGCCGGTCGCCCTGCCATACGCGGCCATGGCCGGGCTGTACCGCTCGCAGCTGCACAGTACAACACTGATGTGGCGGGCAATGCGCGGCAAGGGACAGCTGCCCCTGCTGCGTGTGCGGCTATTGAACGCCCTCCGCCGCCGTGGCAGAGCGGATGGCAGCTTTGCTGCGCTTGACCGATATGGCAGCAGCCCTGGCAGCGGCCTCAAGCAGCTCTCAGGGAGTATGTTGCTCTTCATGCCACTGCTGCTGCTTTTGCCCACGACAGCGTGGTTTTACTTCTTCTCTTTTGGCCTCCATGCGGCAGGCAGCTTGCCTCGAGCGGTGCTTCAGCTTTTCGTCCAGCTGGTGCACGATAGCGCAGCCGAGGCAGCCGCTCAGCACCTGCTGGAGTCGAGCAGCAGCAGCAGTACCAGCAGTACCAACGCTGGACAGTACCAGTACCAGCTGTTCGAGCCGCACATCGATACGGACGCCCTGCCTGCCGCAGCAGCCGATGGGGTGCGGTGCACCACCTACTTGCTGGCACGGCGACAGCAAGGCAGCTGCTGGAGTGCAGCCATGCATGCTGTGGCACAGGCCATGGCCAAGCGCGCTACCATGTCGCCCGCCCGTGTGTGCCTTGACGTGCTGACCGGCAGGCCGCTCTGGCTGGCTTGGCCAGGGTGGTGCTCGGACTAACTGGCTGCATTGTTTCATGGCCTCCAGCTCATCATTCAACCCCTTGTTCACAGTAAACAGTAAGGGCAACGTGTTACAATCCTCTAGGCACAGATGTATACAGCAGCAAACCCAACAGCCACTGCATTAACAGCCACTGCACAGCAAGTGTTATTGCAGCATTGCAAGCTGCGCCGGTCCTTGTACCTGCGGTGCCGGTGGTGGCGACGGCATCGCCCGCCGACCCCGCGTCAGCGCTAGGCCATACTCTCTGCAGGAATATAACATGAGCTCGGCACCGGCCTCCCGCCACCGCAGCGGCTGGCATGCTAGAACTTGGCTGGCGCCGCTCTTGGGGGTGCAGCCTGCAGGAGCACAAGAGGTGCAGCAAGGCATGCCGTATTCCAATAATTCTTTTGTGGTTGGTTGGCAACAGACGGCACGGTGCCTGAACCAAGCTCACTAGAATCATCCAGCCACCAGATGCCTTGCTTCTTGTAAACTTCCGCCTTCTCCAGAAACCCCGCGGAAGGGGGGTGCAGAAAACTCCGTTGGGGGGGGAATGAAGCATTTGTTGGCAAACCAGTTGCCCAGTTCAGAAAAAGAATGAACAAATTGCCCCCCACCTTCCCACCCAAAGGCCCCACCTGTCCTAACCCGAAGTTCGGGAACGGCGGGTTCGGCTTGCCAAGGGCCTTGGACTTCTTGGAAACCAAGTTACGAAGCGGCCAGTAAGGCGGGATTCGGGCCTGGCTGGTGGTGCCCAGCCCGTCCGTTGACACAAGCAAATGGGGAACAGGGTTGGTACACTTCGTGGGGCCTTTAATGATAAAAGGGGTCTCCACCATTGCCCTCCTGGTCCCCTGGTTGGGGTTACTGGCCAAGGCCTGCCAACCGGTTAATCCCCCTGGCCTAAGAAAAAAAAAAAAGTTTCCAAAACGGTCCGGAGGGGTTGGGGGCCCGCGCGGGGCTGCAGAAGTGGGCAGGTAGAGGCGCACAGCAGGGTTCAGTGACCATGCGCCATGAAAGCAATCAATCTAATATAATTTGCATTCTTGTCTCGTCTTACTATCATGAATTTGCACAGCGCCGTCCGCTCCGTACTCGTCCACAAACTTGATGTGACTCTCCCAGAGGGGCTTCATCACCCAAGACACGTCAGCATCTAAGAGCAAGGGGGGCACATTAGTTAGCAACCCAGTCGGTCGGCTTGGATGAGGATAGCAACAAAACAACAGAACACAACAGACACACACCTACGTACAAAACCGCATAGCCCTGTTGCAGCAGGTGCAGCACCAGGGTACGTCGCAGCCACTTGACAACCTGCAGCCGTGCGCGTCAAGGACACACAATGAAAACCACGTCCCACCCTGTCGCGCTGGTTCCCTTCTCATTGCACCAAATGGTGCAGGCTGCTGGGCCCAATCCCCACAATCCGCCGCACACCAGATAATCGTGGCCAGAGTAGAACTCGCCAGAAGACGGGTTCTCCAGAGGCTCTGGCAGGTGGGCCGCCACATCAGCACAGGGCAGGTTGAGGTCGGCACAGACATCCAGCCCCTCTTGGCTCCATGTGCCCACGATGAAGTTGCGAACACCACCAAACTTGACCATGGAATAGACTGCGCGGGTTTCAAGGGGTGAAACACCGTGAGCAGTCAGCAGCAGTGGAATGTTCGCCAGGCTGAATGGCAGGAGAATGAGGCTTGAGTCTGCCTGACCCCACCTTGCCGCCATGTGCCATAGGCGGTGGGCGCGACGCCAAGCGTGCCGCCCCCTGCCGCCCGCCACAACCACGCCCAACCCGGCACCCTGTTTCACTGGCACGCTGGCCGGCGTGCTCACTGGCATTCTGCGCCATCACCGAGGCGTTTTTGGAGAAGAGCACAACAGTGATGGTCTTGTTGTAGGGCCCGATTGCTGTGCTCCGTAACTTGAGCAGCCTCTCCAGGTCGTGGACCCCCGCATACGGCAGCACCTTGGAGCGCGTCGGCAGCAGCCAGGGCGCCGCCTCAAACTCTGCCAAAGCCTCGGCATCGCGCTCGACGAGTGCGGGATCGGCCTGCGCCGCAATCGCATTGGAATTGATCACCGCGGCGCCAGCCGGCCATGACCGACTCCCTCCAAGCAGAGATCCACACTGGGGCCACCCGCTGTGCGCACGCACCTGCAGCTTGTCATAGGTGGCACGGCTGGGGCTTTCCATCGGGATGGTGCCCGGCCAGAGGCGCCCCACTGGCAGCGGGCCTCCCTGGGGGCAGGACGTTGCCTGGAAATACCACGACATGTCCCTGACCTGCACCCTGCAAGTGTTGGCAGGCAGATGACCGGCGGGGCCAAACCAACGGAATGCCAGGCAAACCCATGGACTGCGGCACACCCAAGGAACAAGCTCGCAACGGCTCACCAGTTCAACCCAGAGGAGCAAAGCATAAAGAGGCCCAGTGCAAGTGCCGCCGCCGCTACCCAGCTACTTGCCAACTTGCTGAGAACGGCTCCCAACCCCGCCTTGTGGCGGCGGAGCACGGCCATGGCGGCGGCTGGCGCGGGCGCCCGCTGCTACTAATTAGCTGTCTTCAAAGCACCCGCTCCTTCCTTGATTGCAAACCCATTGGCGCAGTGCCAGATGCGGCTGTGTCGTGGGTTGCACAAGTTCAAGGCCCAGCTCGAGTTGGGCTGGTCTTTTTGGTGACATCATTGGATCACAGTGGGGTTTTCCCTACTCCATGCGCCTACGGGGGCGCATGGGGCAACACATGGTTCAGTTGAACCACAGCGGCCAGGCAGGCCTCCCGATCACTGGTCCCCTCGCTGGCAGTCATGCATCCCAGGTAGGCCTCCCGATCACCGGTCCCCTCCTGGCGGGGGTCATGCATTTCAGGCTTCATCTCCCTCAATCTCCACCATTTTCCCTCTTGTTTGTCGTGATCGACTCCTGGTAGCGTAAATGCTTCATGACTCCTCCCAAGCTGCACATCAGCGTGCATGAGTCCAACCCTGGGAGGCGAATGACACTTGACAATGAACAGCCGCGCAGGCAGGCATCTAAAAGACCAGGTCAGGCTCCTCCTATAAATCATCCCGGGCAGCGCAGCCGGCGCCATGCCGAGGGGCCAAACACCTCGAGCAGCAGCGGCTGGTGGAGCGAGCGGTAGCAGCGCAGGCACGATGCTTGGGACGATAGGAGAGAGGCGGACGAGCAGATGATGCTGGCCACCACACCGCAGCGGGCGGCGCTGCAGGCGGGGCAGCGGGCGGCAGGATTCCAGCAGGTTCAGGCGCGGGTGGACAGCACGGAGCCACTGCGCTGCTGGCTCAGAAGGTTTGGTGGAGATGTTCCGGCTGTTGCAGCTCAAAGACGGCGTCGGTGGGCATGGTGGGTTGCGAGCAATCGCCGCCCAGTTGTTGCCGCCAGGCTGTCCCCAAATGCACCTGCCCCGCCCCCCCCCCGCCTGCCCCCTACCTTGCCTGCCTTGTTGTGTGGCGGTCATACGTGGCAGAGTTTGTGCGATGTGCCCAGCTGCTGGACACCAGCGACCCCTTTGGCAATTGCTTCATTTGTGCCAGTACGTTCCGCGCCGCGCTGAACGACGGTGAGTGAACAGCGACAGCAATAACAGCATGGGCCCACCACTTCCAGTCTTTACAAGCTTGCACCAACTAGATGGCAGGGCATCCCTGCCTTTGCATTCTTGAGATTACATTCTTGCTGCCCAAAGCCACCCCCTTGCCCACATCCCACCCCACTCCCCGCCCTGCTTCAGGAACCCTTATTGGGCTGTACCGCCTGGCCGTGATGCTTGATGCCTGCCTTAAGCCCTGCCACTTTGCGATGGCCGGCCGCTCGCAGCCACATTGCCCCAGTATTTACACTTTTCTGGCTGCTGTGGCAAGGGGCGTGATCAGCGACTTCGAGTCGGGCAAGCTGAACAGCGAGGCGCAGCAACGCTGGGCCGAGAATTGCGCCGCCAGCGAGGCGAGTGGCGCCTGCAGCAGCAATCTAACATGCAGCCGCCCCTCTGCTAGCGCGCGCGGCGTGGTTGATGTGTCTGGTTTAGCGGGCGTGTTCTGCAACCATTGCGTGGCTGGGTGCGATGCCATGCTGGCAATGCGCACTCCCGAGCAGTGGGAGTACCACATCCGCACTTTCACCAGCGTGTTGCTGCGCCGGCCAGACATCGCGGACGCCTACATCGACATCGGCTGCCGCCTGAAAGCAAGCCTGCTAGCGGCGCTGCAGCGCCATGTGGACGCTGGTGACCTGGCACCTGGGGTTTTGGAGAAGGTGAGAAGGGATGGGGCGGACCTCTGGCACTCTGGTGGCCACATTCATGCCTAAGGCCGATGTCTCGTGCCCTATGCAGCTGAATGTGATGGTGCCGTGGATGCATGCATTTGACCTTGACGTGCCCTGCCAGCTGCAGTTCAGCGGCTTGTACCAGGTATGAAGCCTTACCTGCAATCTCGCCCTGCCGCCACCTTCCTCCCACGCACAACTGACCCTCACCACATTGCCCATGATATCTCCCTGCTGCTTGCAGGAAGGCGTGGGTCGCCGTGTTGGAGAGCAGTCTGAGCAGGTTTGGTCGCGTGTGAAGCCTTTCTCTCTTGTCGCGCGCTACATGGCGCCCCCCCGGGATGGCTACAACTCGTTGTTCGCACTGCTGGGGCAGCTGGTGCAGCGTGACCTGCCGCAGCTGCTGGAAAAGAAGCTGAAGAACATTGGCAACACCATTAGTGCGTGAATTTCTGCTTCGTGTTGTGTGTGTGTGTGTGTGTGTGCATTGCGCTGCGTTGTTTGCATTTTCTGCATTTTGTTATCTTGTTGTGGCACCAGAAAGCCCCGCCTATGGCTTTCACACACAGCCTGGCCTGCGCCCTGCCTGCAGGTCAGCACGAGAAGGGGATTGAGGACTTGAGAGCCGAGGCCTCCGCTGTTGGCGTGGCTGATCTGGAGGCAGCGCTGGCTTCTCTTCAACCCAGCGGGCCGGCATCGACTGTTGGCATCAGCACACAGGTGCGCTTGATAGGTGATTCATATGATGCTGGCGCTGCTGATGTGGCAAAGCCATGCCACCGTCCATCATCTACAGTGTGCTCCGTTCCGTGCCTGCCACAGGTGCGCTATGTTGAGGCGCTGATGAGATGGAACGCGCACCAGAAGATGCGCAAGCAGAAGATGGGCTTGAGCATGGTCCTGCAGGGCCCGATGGCTGTGCATGTACATGCCAAGGCCAGCGACAACAAGAAGGAGGAGCAGTTGCGCAAGGCGGTCGTTGCATGCAAGATGGAGCTTCAGATTGATCCTGGCAAGCTTGCTGGGCCCCGTGCTGTTGGCTGGACCCTGTGTTGTTGGCTGTGTGTCTGTTTCGTGCTATTGCGAATGTGCTCAGCATTGCCTTCCACCTGCGCCCGCCTATGAGCAGATCAGCGTTGGGCCCCAGGGCAGGAAGAGTATGATACTGGTGCCAGACAGGTGGCCCTCCGAGTGTGCATAGCCGAGGCGCGCGAGATTCAGGATCGCGTGTTCAGGATCAAGATGAAAAAACAAGACGAGGCGCAGGAGAGCGGCAACGCTGCCACAAAGATGGGCAGGAAAATCAGCAAGCTGCGCAGGTTTGTTTGATTGCTGCGCTGTGCAGGGCCATCTTCATGGGGATCTTGCTGTACCTTTTCATTGCTGCTAATGACACCCACGCATCGATGCTGCTTGCAGCGAGGCCGAGCAGCACCTGCAGCTGTACCTGGAGTGGCAGGCCAAGCTTGACGGCGGAGGTGGTTAGAAATCGCCGACGGGCCGCTGGCGACACGATGGCCGGCATGGCGCTTGCAAAGCCGTGAAGGGCTGAAGAGGACAAATATGAGTGATTTCTGGCGAGTTTGGCGAGGCCTTCCTTCTATGCCAGGTGGCGACTGAACGGGGCGGGGTGTACACGCGCCACTGGTTCACCCATGGTTCAACTTTACATTGGCGCGGTAAGGACAACACCGCCAGGTTCAGCCACCATTTTGCTCTACAAAAGGCTTGTAACACGCCGCAGGCTTTGCTGTGCAACCCCAAATTTGGCCGGTTCAGCAGCTGGGTGTACACGCGCCCCGGGGTAGTCATACCGCAGTGAGGCTTGGCCTTGCTGGCCATCATACCGGGCGAGTAAGAACTGCCGTAAACGGTAAAGGTAAAGGTGGGGAAGCGTAATTGGCTCGTGGGTAGCGCAGTGAATTGATCAATGGTGCATATATTATACGATGAGAGTGCAGGATGGGCCACTGCATTTCAACGCTGGTGAAAACATACCGACAAACATTGCTTAATTGTGCATTGCAATTGGGCGATTGGGTGGTTGAAGCAGGTTGAAGTGTCGTCAGATGAGGGTAGCAATATTGGTACTAATGGAAACCAGCTGAGGAGCAAGTTGCGCAGGTAGGCCTCCCGGTAAGGATGTGCCCCATGATGGGCATGATGGCCCCCCACCTGGAGGGTCATTGGGGACATCATCCTCAATCATGCATCATTCTCCCTCCCGTTTGTTCTGTTGGCATCCCAGCAACCGTAATATGCTTTCTAGGACATGAGCCACCACTTTAGGGTGAAGGTGGTTAGCAAGACCACGGCCCCCAGGCCTCTAGACGGGCCACAGCCAAAAAGATCCCGTGCAAGTAGACCAGGACAACAAGCTCCCTTCAATGTGCCAGGGCAGGCCAGGCGGCGGGGTGAGAGGGATGACAACGAGGATGAGCGAGCACCCAGCGGCTTCTTAGGCTGGGGCGACCGGCAAGGACGCAAACGTGATCACTGGGAGGCTCGGCTCGGAGCGGACGTGGATGCCTTCTTGGCCTCTCTGCCGGGCCGGGCGGCGCAGCAGCGGCAGGAGCGCCAGCAGCAGCTCCAGCAGCGGCAAGCCCAGCTGGCCAGCATGGAGCCGCTTCCTTGCCACTTAGCAGCAGAAAATGGCAGCTGCTGTGAGTTTCACAAGACGGGCAGCCAGGCAGCTGTGTTTTATGGGCCGCTCGGCGTGGTGGGCAGGCTCACGTTGCCGGTATGGGAGTGCAAGACGG